GTTAAAATCAGAGTTGGTTCTAATCTGCCACTCCTTGTAAATTATAGAATGTACCTGACCATTTCAGAAAGCAGCTCATTTCAGGTAGTTAGTGGTTTTTCTCTGTCACAGTCAAAACACACCAGGCTAGTTATGTCAAAAAGCTTTGCCAAATGGCATTATTTAGATAGCCAGACTCTTACAAATGCCAGGTGTGTCATGATATACTTGACAAACACATATGCTGAGTGACTAGTTGTACTTACAGTATATATTTTATATCTAAGTGAAGATCACCTACCTATTAAGAATATACAGTGAAGAGACTCAGCATTTAAGAGACCTGACGATCAGATCATACTAATGTCATATTTTAATAAAATTACACCTAAACAGGTTTTCTTTAGAAAGTTATTGAAAATGTAATCCTACCATGTAACTTAAATACATATGTGAAATAATATCCTAGAAAAAAAAAAAAACTTTCATTTTTTTTTTTACATATGTGAAATAATATCCTATTTGTAGGATATTTTTAAAAATTAAAGATTGCTAGCAAGTTACAATAAGCAAAAGTACCATGAAAGAGTAATAGTAACAGCTGAAGGTGCATGCCTTTACGATGGTTATGCTTATATAAAATTTCAATTATTTTACATTTGCTGACTGATTTTAGGGGGAAAAAAAAAAGGACCCACAGCATTATGAAACAGCCAAAACAGAGTGCAAAAAGAGCCCTGAAAAGTAGGGGGGAAAATTGAGTATAAATGGAAAGCATACATCCTGTTTCTTGCTGTAGAGTTTTGTCTCAAACTATCAATCAACTTTTCACCACTTCCTGCAATAGCAGGTCTACTATGAATCTCGTAGTGACTGACTAGGTTTCATTTCCTCTGCCCAAACCTAGCAGCCTGCCAGGCATGACATACTGAGACTACAGCCAACAACTGATAATGTAGGACAAGACTCTAGTGAGGCAACTCAAGACATTTCATACTGGTTGACACAGTTTACCGGCTAGCTCGGCTTTTTAATCTCATAGGATACCACACACACATATGCACGTGCATACACACTCTCAGTTCTATCTGGTACCAAGCAGTACATCAGCTTTCTTTTTAAAGGACATTGATGATAATGACATATCAT